CGCAGACGGTCCAAACTGGGCAGCGCCGCCAGACGCCCAAACTGCAGCAGCAGCAGCAGCAGCAGCAGCACAGCAGCAGCAGCACAGCAGCAGCAAACGCATGCAGCAGCAGCAGCAGCAGCAGCAGCCACTGGAGCCGCGGGAGGCTAAAGAGCTGCAGGCAATTTCAAATGGCAGCAAACAGGCAGCAGCAGCAGCACTGCTGCTGCCAACACCAGCAGGGCCCGGGGGCCCCTGACTGCGCCTTGGGGCCCCCTGGGGGCCCCCGGGGCCCCCAGGGGGCCCCCCGGGGCCCCCCGGGGGCCCCCCGGGGGCCCCCAAGTACCCTTTTTGAAGGGGCTTTGGCCCGGAACTAAAGGGGAGTTGAAGGGTCCAGTATTGGGGAGTAAAAGCAAATTAGAATTGATTTAATTTGTCAAAAAATTAACTCAAAAGATTTATTCTGCTGCTCACTTCGTCCAAAAGAGTCTCCGCTTCTCTAAAGGTCACATCCCTCGGAAGGTTCGCCACCAAGACGACACAGGGGCCCCCCGAGGGGCCCCCCGAGGGGCCCCTGGGGGGCCCCCCCGAGGGGCCCCCCGAGGGGCCCCGGGAGGGGCCCCTGTGGGGGCCCCTCTCGGGGCCCCTGGGGGGGCCCCTGTGGGGGCCCCTCTCGTCATAAGAGGGGCTTCTTGAGCGGTGGCGGGGGCCCCTGTAGCGCCGGGGGGCCCCTGGGGAGTAAGACGGGGAAGCCATGGGGAGGCTTTGCTGCTGCTGCGGGGCGAAAGGGCTGCTGCTGCTGCTGCTGCTGCTGGTGCTGCTGCTGCAGCTGCTGCTGCAGGGCTAGGGCCCCCACTCCCCCTGCTGCTGCTGCGCTGGGGCTTCGGTCGGGCGGCAGCTGCTGCTGCAGCCGTGGGCCAGGCACTTTAAACGATAATTGCAAAAAGAAATCTATTACCTTTCTTCAGATGAATTCAAAAACAAGGAATAGACACGAACTGCAGCAGCAGCAGCAGCAGCGCAGCCGGCGGCCGCGCATGCACCGTCGTCGCCGTGGGTGCGCGTACCCCGAAGCGGGCGTTTGGCCGGCGATTTGAGGCAGAAAAAGGTTTGAAAAGCAATTATTTTACTTTTATTTTGTAAATTTAATGCAAATAAAAAAGAAAAATCAAAAATTAGCCGAAAAACGCCGCTGCACAGCCCCCCCAGCGTGGCTGCTGCTGCAGCCCCAAGCGTGGCTGCTGCTGCAGCCCCACTGCTGCTGCGCTGCGCGCTGCAGCAGCAACTCCAGGTGTACGTACACCGCGGCGCCCAGCCACGCGAACTTCCCGCAGCCAGCCGCCGCTGAAAAGCCGCAGCTAGCCAGCTAGCCAACTAGCCAGCTAGCCAGCTAGCCAGCTAGCCAGCTGGCTAGCTAGCTGCTGCCCCCAAAAGACAACCAAGGGCAAAGCCCCACGGCGCCAGCGGGTCCTGCTGCTGCAGCAGCCAGCAGCAGCTAGCTGGGCCTAGGCGGGCTCTCTCCCAGCTAGCTGCAGGCACCCCCTGCAGCTAGCTGCAGCTAGCTGCAGCTAGCTACGGCTCGCTGCAGCTTGCTACAGCTTGCTGCAGGTAGCTGCAGCTTGCTGCAGCAGGTGCCTGCTGCTAGCTGCGGCTAGCTAAGACTTGCTGCAGCTTGCTGCAGCTTGCTGCAGCTTGCTGCAGCTTGCTGCAGCTTGCTGCAGCTTGCTGCAGCTTGCTGCAGCTTGCTGCAGCTACTAACAGCCACAAAGAACTAGCTCAGCTAGATATAGAGAGGTTTGGCTAGGCGAAGTTCGCCTGAAGCAGCCGCAGCTAGCCCCAGCTAGCTACAGCTAGCTACAGCTAGCTACAGCTAGCTGCAGCTAGCTGTAGCTAGCAGCTAGCTCAAGCTCGCTACAGCCAGCTGCAGCTAGCTACAGCTAGCTACAGCTAGCTGCAGCTAGCCAGGACTAGCGAAGGGCCAGCCTGACAAGCTGCTGCTAGCTGCCGCTAGAACTATCCGCTGCTACAGCTAGTTGCTGCTATAGCTAGCTACTGCCATAGCTAGCTGCTGATGTAGCTAGCTGCTGCTATAGCTAGCTGCTGCTATAGCTAGCTGCTGCTAGCAGCAGCTACCGCTGCTGCAGCCAGTTGCTGCTATACGATCGATGACGGTATCGATCGACGACTATATCGATCGACGACGACAACCGGACTGTGGACTGAAGGGCCGTTTGGACTCGACCTGAAGTTTGCTGCTGCAGCTGCTGCAGCAATTAAAAGTTAACTTCAAGAAGCAAATTCATTTCTAATAAACAAATTGCATTTTAATCATTTTAAAAGGCCCTAAAGGATTTAAAAGAAGCAAATGCGTGTCCCCCGAGAGCGCTGCTGCTGCTGCTGCTGCTGCTGCTGCAGTGCGCTGCTGCACTGCAGCAGCAGCAGCAAAGGCAGCGCAGCCCTCCCCAGGTGTACGTACACCCCAGCGCATGCAGCCAGCTGATCCTTTCAGGTGTATGTACACCTCAGTGGGGCCCCACACCTTCGCCCCCCATTGCTGGGGTGTACGTACACCTCAGGCTTCGCTGCTCGTTGCATTTGTGCAAAGAATAAGCAGCAGCAAATGCAAAAAGAAATTAATTCCAAATGGAGAAGAGAAAGCAGCAACAAATGCAAAAAGAAGAAATTAATTCCAAATGGAGAAGAGAAAGCAGCAACAAATGCAAAAAGAAATTAATTTTAAATGAGAAGCAGCAGCAGCAAATAAACACCTCAGATCTCCCCTTTGAGGCCCCCCGCTCAAAAGCCAATTCACAACTTCTAATTAAGGGCTCTGCTGCTGCTGCTGCTGCTGCTGCTGCTGCTGCTGCTGCTGCAGCAAGGGCACACTGGAGGCCCCTTAGCCCTCTAAGTTGTGCAAAGAATAAGCAGCAGCAAATGCAAAAAGAAATTAATTCCAAATGGAGAAGAGAAAGCAGCAACAAATGCAAAAAGAAATTAATTTTAAATGAGAAGCAGCAGCAGCAAATAAACACCTCAGATCTCCCCTTTGAGGCCCCCCGCTCAAAAGCCAATTCACAACTTCTAATTAAGGGCTCTGCTGCTGCTGCTGCTGCTGCTGCTGCTGCTGCTGCTGCTGCAGCAAGGGCACACTGGAGGCCCCTTAGCCCTCTAAGGGCGCTCCTTAAACAATCTCTAGGGGGGCCCCTCTTGAACCCTCTCCACAGAGGCGGGGCCCCCCGGGGCCCTCAGGGGCCCCCGGGCCCCCGGAGACCCGGGTTTCTTCGAGGCCCCAAAGTTCTGGGGCCCCCCGGGGGCCCCCGGGGGCCCCCGGGGGCCCCCGGAGGCGACCCGGGGGCCCCCTGGGGGGCCCCCGGAGATCTTGGGGCAGCAGCAAGAGGCCCTCAGTAGTTCCCGCTGGAGAACTGTCTTGTTGTCTGGTGTACGTACAGCTGACGCCAATTCGGGGCAAGTGAGTGTCGCCCACGTTGCTGAGGTGTACGTACACCTCAGTAGGGGCCCCACACTGCTCAAAGCCAAAGGCGGCTCCAGGGGCTTTCGGGGGCCCCCCTGAAGGGGGGCCCTCGCAAGAAGGGGCCCCCTGGGTCTAGAGGGGCCCCCGCAAGAAGGGGCCCCCAGGGACTAAAGGGGCCCCCGTAGGAAGGGGCCCCTGGGGCCCCCTGGGTCAAGAGGGGCCCCCGCAAGAAAGGGCCCCCTGGGTCTAGAGGAGCCCCCACAAGAAGGGGCCCCTGAGGCCCCCCGGGTCTAGAGGGGCCCCCGCAAGAAGGGGCCCCCTGGGTCTAGAGAGGCCCCCGCAAGAGGGGGCCCCCCGGGTCTAGAGGGCCCCCAAGGGGGCCCCCCTGGGTCTCGAGGGGGCCCCAATTAGGAGTTAAACTCGAAGTCCTTGAGCTGCTTCTGGAGGCCCCTTTGCTCCTGCTGCAGATCTTCTTGCCGCCTCTTCTCCGCCTCAGACAAACCCCGCCTTTGCAGCGCATGCACAACACACACTAAGGGGGGCCCCACACAATAACAGGGGGCCCCACACAATAATAGGGGGCCCCCCACACTTATGGGGGCCCCCCACACAATAACAGGGGGCCCCACACAATAGCAGGGGGCCCCACACAATAATAGGGGGCCCCACACAATAACAGGGGGCCCCACACAATAATAGGGGGCCCCCCACACAATAATAGGGGGCCCCCCACACTTATGGGGGCCCCCCACATTCATGGGGCCCCACACACTCATGGGGGCCCCACACAATAATAGGGGGCCCCACACTCAAGGGGGGCCCACTCATTCATGGGGCCCCACACACTCACGGGGGCCCCACACATTCATGGGGCCCCACACATTCATGGGGCCCCACACAATAATAGGGGGCCCCCCACACAGCTAGCTGGGGGCCCCACACACTCACAGGGGCCCCACACGCAGCTAGTTGGGGGCCCCACAAGCTCATGGGGGCCCCACACAGAGCTAGCTGGGGGCCCCACACACTGGTGGGGGCCCCACACACTGATGGGGGCCCCACACAGAGCTAGCTGGGGGCCCCACACAGAGTTGGGGGCCCCACACAGAGTTGGGGGCCCCACACAGAGTTGGGGGCCCCCCAGGGGGCCCCACAGATAGGTAGGGGCCCCAGAGAGAGAAAAGACCCAAATGAAGGTCTGGGCCAACCCAGAGGGGGGCCCCCCAAAGAGCCACGGGACTTACCCAGGGGGGGCCCCCTGTAGGCGGGGGCCCCCCACTGGCTCCAGCAGCTACTTGACGCGCAGCAGCAGCAGCAGCAGCAGCAGCAGCAGCAGCAGCAGCAGAGGGTGGAAAGGCATCAAAAGACAACCAAAGAAAAGGAAAAAAGGAATTTAAACAGAACAAAATGAAATAAAAGGAAGTAAAATAAAATAAAGAAATAAAAAGGTAAAAGAAATAAAAAATAAAAACTTGCCTTTTGGCCAAAGCCTGAATATCTCTCAGTGTCTTCTGGACAATTTGCAGCCGCAGCTGCAGCGCCTCTCGGGCCTCTTCGGGGCTGTCTTCATCCTGCTGCTGCTGCTGCTGCAGTTGCTGCTGCTGCTGCTGCTGCTGCTGCTGCAGCTGCTGCTGCAGCAGCGGCGATAGCGGGGGCTGCATGCGCTCCAGCGACGGAATGGCCCAGGCCGTGGGCCTCTGCTCCCACAGCAGCAGCACGCCAGCCAGAATGGCAACAAACCATAAACCCTTTTTTAGGGTTTAGGGTTTAGGCGGGTTCTGGTCTGAGGAGCTAGGGTTTAGACCCGCTTTGGCACGGGGCTGCGCGCGTGCTGACATTTCTAACGAGACAGCCGTAGACAAAGCCAACTCTGAAATTAGGGTTTAGGGTTTAGGGTTTAGGGTTTAGGGTTTAGGGTTTAGAGCGGCAGCGCACCGCCCTTGCGTTGGCTTCTCTAAGGATGCGCAGAACTCTCTCCTGGGGGTTTTCGCCAGGAAGAGACACAGGAATGCCAGCAGCTAGTTCAATCCCTGCTGCTGCTGCTGCTGCTGCTGCTGCTGCTGCTTCATCTGCTGCTGCTGCGGAGCTTGATGTATCATCTGTTTTCTCTGACTCTTGCTGCTGCTCTTGCTGCTGCTGCTTTTCTTGTTCTCCGTGTTGCTGCTCCTGCTCTTGCTGCTGCTGCTCCTGCTGCTGCTGATCCTTTTGTTGCTGCTCCTGCTGCTCCTGCTGCTGCTGATCCTTTTGTTGCTGCTCCTGCTGCTCCTGCTGCTGCTGCTCTTGCTGCTGCTGCCTGTAGGCTGCTGCCTCCTCCGGGTGCAACTCCTCGTTCAGCAAAAGAGCCTCTATGAGCTCTGCAACTTCCTGCAATGCGCAACAAGCCAAGCAGCAGCAGCAGCAGCAGCAGCAGCAACAGCAGCAGCAGCAGCAAAAATAGGCTCCAGATTAACGGCTTAGGGTTTAGGGTTTAGGGTTTGTGAGCGACCCTCCTGAGGCCGCCGCAGCCTTGAAGGAACTGCTCTGGACCACTGGACCAGAGCAGCAGCAGCAAAAGGAAATAAAGACAACAGCAGCAGCAAAAGGAAATAAAGACAACAGCAGCAGCAGCAAAAGAAAAAGAAGACAAAAAGAGCAGCAGCAAAAGAAAATAAAGACAACAAGAGCAGCAGCAAAAGAAACAAATATGAAAAGAGCAGCAGCCGAAGAGAAAAAAGGGAAAAAGAGCAGCAGCAAAAGAGAAAACAAGAAAACAAAAGAAGCAGCAGCAAAAGAAAAAGCAAAAGAGCAGCAGCAAAAGGGAAAAAACAAAGACAGCAGCAGCAAAAGAAAAAAAAGAGCAGCAGCAAAAGGGAAAAAGGAAGCAGCCGCAGCACCTGCAGAGTGCAGCCAGAGGCCCGCCGTTCTTCCTGCAGCAGCAAACAGACCGCAGCAGCAGCTAGCTGCTTGCTGCTACTAGCTAGCTGTGTCTGCTGCAGCTAGCTGTGTCTGCTGCAGCTAGCTGTGTCTGCTGCAGCTAGCTGTCACTGCTACTAGCTAGCTCTCTCCGCTGCAGCTAGCTGTGTATGATGCAGCTAGCTGTCTGTGATCCAGCTAGCTAGCTGGCCTGGCTAGCTGGAGCTAGCCCAGATAGCGTGGCTAGCTGGGCAGCAGCTAGCTACGGCTTGCCAGCTTGGCTAGCTGCTTCTGGCCTGGCTGTCCAGCTTGTTTAGCTGCGTCTGGCTTGGCTAGCTGGGCTATGTTAGCTAGCTGCGTGTGGTTTGGCTAGCTGGTGCAGCCTAGCTAGCTAGCTTGGCTAGCTGGTGCAGCCTGGCTGGCTAGCTGGTGAAGTTTGGCAAGCTAGCTTGGCTAGCTGGTGCAGCTTGGCTAGCCAGCTTGAATAGCTAGGTTGGCTAACTAGGTTAGCTAGCTAGCGTGGCTAGCTGGTGCAGCTTGGCTAGCTATGTTGGCTAGGTGGGTTGGCTAGCTAGCTAGCTTGGCTAGCTGGCCTGGCCAGCCATCTTAGCTAGCTAGCTAGGGTAGCCATCTTGGCTAGCTAGATAGCTTGGCTTGCTAGCTAGCTTGGCTAGCCATCTTGGCTAGCTAGCTAGCTTGGCTAGCTAGCTTGGCTAGCTAGCTAGCTTGGCTAGCTAGCTAGCTTGGCTAGCTAGCTGGCTTGGCTAGCTAGCTAGCTTGGCTAGCTAGCTAGCTTGGCTAGCTAGCTAGCTTGGCTAGCTGCAGCTCACGATGGGCCTGCCCTTGC